AAATGGGAGCTAAAATATAGTTGATATTAGACTTATATTTATGATGTTACACAAATATTTACCAATTTTGCAATGTGTCTGCTGGATGTGTAAATGGATGATGATAATAATTTAGAGTTGATTTACAGATCTTTTCACATATCTTTATAAACTGGATTTTTTAAAAGGAATGTACTTTATGTGATTACATGAGACACATTAAATGGATTGAGTGATTGACAGCTGCTGCTGAGAAGTGGCTAAAATATCTTTAAAATACACATGAATGTATATGTATTCTGTCGTTGCAGGTGGAAAAGCTGTGTAGCAGCCCTGTTATTTCCTCAAGTGAAAACAGCTTCAGAGTGAAATGCCCATCCTCTCTTCCTCTGGTCAGTCTGGTTCTCCAATTTCATGTGATATTTTTTACAGGATGTATTTATTTTCTACTGGGATAAAAGATCTACAGAAATGCCTTGTTCTCATGTTATACAACACCCTCTCTGTGTGTGATACCCATTGTGTATTATATGTATGTATGTGCACTGCAGGACTTTTCTGCAGACTTTTCTGCAGACTTCTCTGACCTCGATGGGGTTGTGCAACGAAGGCGTCACGAGATGATGGAGAGCAGCAGCTCCGGGTCTCAAACTCCAGATTACGACAAAATAAATGGTGCGTGCTCCATCCTCCTCCCTCTATGTCTACGTCTGCCCTTTACAAGCTACTGTACACTTACTTTAATCTGGTTGATACACTATTGTATTGGCTTAGGGTGTTGGGTTTCACTGTGGCCCAGAAAGCCTTTAGTTTGCAAATAGCTGAAGGGAAGCCAAGAGAAATTTGAGCCGTCGAGGCTTTGCTTTTTGTCTTATAGCGAAGACAGTTGGCATGGTGATGATCCCATTGAGTGATAATAACATCTTTAGCTTTTATTGTTAGCTTCTTTTTTCATCTGTCAAGCAAACATAGAGCGGTTGTAGATCTGAAAAGACGTTGTTGTGTCTATTAATAATATTTACTCAGACACAAGTTATTTTGTGTTTGTTCGAGCAGACTTCACCAGCCTCCCGGACACATTTCTGAGTGCCGTGAAGAGCGGGGAGGTTTCAGTCCACGCAGACGTTCACCTCCAGACTCCAAGCCAAAAACACGGAGCTGCCCTGAACAATGGTAGTTTGAAAATACATCTTCGTATTTAGTTAGTGTTTCCCAAAATACATTCAATTAAAGCAATCAATATTTATTTAAAGGAATAGTTTGGCAAATACTCTGGTTTGCCATTTTGCTGAGAGTTACAAGACAAAGATCCATACCACTCTCATGGCTTCATAGTATAAAATACAGCCACCACCATCAACTGGTTAGCTTAGTTTAGCACTAACACTGGAAACAGGAGAAAGCCTGACTCTCAAAGATGTATAATCCCCCTGGTAAACTACTAGGGGCTGTTGTTACAGTTACATAACAACATATCATGTCTTAAGTAATGAGAGGTTCATTAAGGGGATTTGTTCAACCTTTGGAAAAAGCCTGGCTAGCTGTTTCCCCCTTTTTAAAATAATTATAATACATTTTATTTGTATATTACTGGTACCTTATACATGCAGCATAGAAAGCTTTAAAAAAAAAAGGGAACTTATACAAATAATAGAATAAAAAACCAGTAGAGAATTACATTATTAATTAAAATAAGATTGGGGGGGGGAGAAAAAAAGATAATATTATAGAATTCATAGAATGCAAAACCTAAGATGGGAAATAATTTAAACAATAAAGTTAAAAATAATTATAATATTACCATACAGACATGGCAATAAGAAGAATTAAAACAATTCCAATAATGTATAAAAATGTATGTGTTTATTATTAATATGCTCTAAACAGTTTATATGCAAGTTATTTAAATATATAGTTTTCTCTGCATTGTGTTATGATATATTCGAAAATAATAATTAAATGTGAACACTATGCTTACCCTGTAATAGTTATTGTATGATATTCATGTTATAGATTGGAGAGTGGTATTGTTTTATAATTGTAATAATATCAATATGTATCCTTCTGTTTTTCCTTGTAGAGGGTACTAAGCTCAAAGGCAAATCCTCACAGCCCATGTCGTTACACACCATCCTCCTCATCTATTTGTTTTTGTGAGTAACCTTTCATTATGTGGCATACGAGACTCTGACAAGACAATTGATTTATTAAAACATATTCATCACTTGGGCATGTTGGTAATTGTTCTGTGTGTTTAATGCTTGATCTGTCACTGTGTGTGTGTGTCTCCTCACAGAGTTAGTGTCCTCGTCCTGTCCTCCTGTTACATGGCTTTCAAGATTGTGGCTCTTGAGCATCGCTTGAGCTCCTTGGTGTCCATGGGGGAACACATCCGTAATGAGTAAGAGATAGATTCACATGTTACTGACGTGGTATTGGTGTTAGAGTTACCAAACAGTAAAACAATTACTCATACTGTTTTATTTATTTTGGTAGTTAAGTTTGTTTATGATATAAGTGCAAATGTTGTTGCAGAAATGCTGTGAGCCGCAGACCCCAGGATGAAGTGAATGCTGAGATTTTTGGAGAACTTTCTTCTAACTTATTCAAGCTGGAAAAGGTTTGTCCCCTTTTTGTGAACACAGCAACATATGGGCACTGAAATCTAAAGTTCTCTAGTTTTAATATTTGTCATATCATTTATCAAAATGTTATGAATTGATTTCCATTTTCCACTGTTTCAAGTGTCATATCAACCAACATTTAAAGTAGTGCAAAAAAATCTGAGCTCTTATGAGTTATTTTCTGTGCAACAAAGCTAAAGCCAGGAAACGATTAGCATAGCTTAGCATAAAGAGTGGAAACAGCCAGCTGGCTCTTATCAATGGCAACAAACAATTTACTAACTACCAGCTCTTAAATCAGAATCAGAATACCTTTATTAGTCCCACAGAGGGGAAATTTGCGGCGTTACAGCAGGAAAGAGCCACAGACAGCTTAGTGTTGCATATCTTAAATGCGTTAAAAAAGTACTAAGTTATAATATAATAAACACTATGCTAAAAAAAGTACTAAGTTATAACATAATAAACAATATGCTAAAAAAAAAAGATAACAAAAAAAGAGACAAGATAAAAAAGTTACATAATTTTCAAAAATACAGATCAAAAACAAATCAAATCTACAAATCAAATCCTGTAGCAGTTCTTAGGATTTAGCAGCCCGGTATATATTACAGTTATTAAAGATGGCATATGTATATAAAGTATATATTGCACATAAAGCACATATTGCACATAGTTTGACGGTATTTAACAGCAGCAAGTTACAAAATTTACAAAATACAAGATACATACCTTGTAAAAGTAACAAGGGTTTAGCAGCCAGGTATAAATTAGACAGTTATTAGCGGCATATATATATTGATTTAGTGGCCAGGTATAAATTACACAGTTATTAATGGCATATATATATTGCACATATAGCACATATTGCACAAAGGTGCAAGAGGGTGTTATAGTCTGTGTTGTGGTGTGTGTAGGAGGGTCTACTAGGGGCAGTGCTGGTTGTAAAGTCTGACCGCTGCAGGAAGGAAGGACCTGCGGTATCTCTCCGTGTGACAGGTGGGGTGCAGCAGCCTGTCGCTGAAGGTGCTGCACAGTGAGGACAGGGTGTCCTGGAGGGGGTGGGACATATTGTCCAGCAGGGAGGACAGCTTGGCTGCCATTCTCCTTTCTCCCACCACCTCCACAGTGTCCAGAGGACTCCCCAGGACAGAGCTGGCCTTCCTTACCAGTCGTCAGCAACCGAGATGCTGCTTCCCCAGCAGGCCACACCATAGAAAATGGCTGATGCCACAACAGAGTCAAAGAAGGTCTGAAGGAGTGCCCCATGCACCCCGAAAGACCTCATTCTCCTCAGTAGAAAGAGTAGGCTCTTTCCCTTCTTGTACAGAGCAGCAGGCTTCTCCAGGTGGGAGAGGGACCTCTGCAGCATGTAGATGACGGCGTCATCCACCCCGATGACAGGCTGGTAGGCGAACTGCAGCGGGTCCATTGATGGTCTCACAAGGGGCCGGAGGTGTCCAAGGACCAGCCTCTCCAGGGTCTTCATCAGCTGTGATGTCAGCGCCACCGGCCGGTAGCTGTTGAATTCCTTGGGGTGAGGGGTCTTTGGCACAGGTACCACACAGGANTGCTGGCTGTAGCTTCAAATTTAAAGGACAGATATTACATTACATTACATGTTACTTGTTAGATGCTTTTATCCAAAGGGACTTAAATACTCAACACTGTGGACAATCCCCACAGGAGCAATTTGGGGTGAAGTGTCTCAGGGACACAACGACATGCTGACTGCAGTGGGACTCAAACTTGCTACCCCCTGATTCAAAGTCCAGCACTCTATCCACTGAGCCACAGCCGCCTAGATATAATAGTGTTATTGATCTTCTCCTCCTAATTTCGTCAACAAAATGTCAACGCTGTTTTTTAAAGATTCTATGGAGCTATCTGAAGTTATATATACATTGTGGTTTATTATTTTCTATCTGAGCATGTTGTCCTTCATCTTTTATATCCTAGATTCAGAGGAGCCTGCGGAAGCTACTTGAAGAGACTTAAAAGAAGACTTTTTGTCTGTCCAGACAGAAGCTTTACTTTCTCTGTTAAAAAAGGTTGGTTTATCACTGAAGATCAGCAGTGATCACATTTGGTTATAGATTTGTTGCCAAAGCACAGACGGATCATACACAAAGCTTTCTTAAAACTGTGTGAACTTTAACTTAAATTGTGCAATAATAGCTTCTTTCCACTTTGCACTCAGGACTATTTTATTACTATTTCTTTAGAAAATCTTGTGCTGGAGGGTAAATGGAAGCAGTGTGTTAGTGAAAAGAAAGCTTAGGCATTGATGCAGTATTTATCAGAGCTTTTATTTTGCATTTCACAATAGAAAGGTATTTTTAAAGGTCCAAAGGTCATATTTCAATGTCTTTTAAACATTTCTTAAAAGGTCAACTTGCTATTTAGATTTTTTATGTTAGAATTTAATTGCAGATTAATTGTATGTATGTCATGTATATAAATAACTCAGATAGGGATGTTAGTAAAATATATTTTAATGACATTTACAGGCAACTTCCTCTTATAGTGTGTAGTAGCAAAAGATTAAAATGTGTCTGTAAGGGCTTATGTGAATAGAAGTTTGCCAAGTTAAAAGTTTGATATACATTTTTATTGTAAATTAGTTCCAATCTGTACTTTTTAACCATGTAAATTGCAGGTTTATTCAGGTTAAATGATAGATACATTCTCAGCTCATAGAAAAACAGTCCTGCACATTTCCATAGAAACTTTCTTCATGGTTGCTGTTGAGTGGTTGTGTTTATAGACCTTTCTTTCATTTCAGGGGCAATAGAATAGAGTGAGCTTGTGTTTTAATAAACTGGTGGTTTGTTTGCATTTAGATCACAGACTCTGCTTTAAACTATTGTGTTGTGTATTAACTATTAAGTCATGAAATAAATGTCTCTTAGAGCTTCTGTACAACTGAAATTGTATTTTTTTGGAGCAGCGAGTGTCTCAAATGTCTGACCATACGGTGGCACACACGCAGAGCATAAACAAATGAATGCAAACTCTCATAGAACTATGATGTAACCTGATCTCAAGTACTGATGCTAGTACTGGCAATGGTCTAACAAGTATTCAGTTTCCTCACTGTGACATGTACATGTGACATCTATTTCTGGTCTGTTGGTTTTATACCTGTTTGTTTCCAGCATTAACCTCGCCCCAACTCAAACCTGGTTAAAAGGCTTATCAGCCAGAGTGATTGAGAACACCTGAGAGGGCGACATTTATTCAAGTACTGTACGAATAAGAGTTACTTGTACTTTTTACACACCACTTTACTGGTATTACAGGGAGATATTGTACATTCAAGATGCTCCATAACAAGTACAAGTCTTCTATTGTGAATGTAAGTATTATCAAGAAAACACAATTTGAATATCCAAATAAATGAAGAGAAGTTGCGGTTTTGAGGGTATGTCCAATAATGTACTTTATACATGTACTATTTTAGTAAAGTATGTGTACTTAATACGTCTTCTACCACTGTATTTACACACTATACTCCTGTTTGTACATCTTATTTAGTTTTAGTTTTATCATGCAGAACATCATGCACTTCAATTATGGAACCAAACTGTTTTAATGTACGTCCGCTTGTATTTTTACATTTTCTTATATGCTTATATATCTTATATGTTTGTTTGTTTGTTTGTTTATTTGTATAGTTTCTTAATATTTAGATGTGGAGAGCTGAGCATAAGAATGTCATTTTACAGCGCAACTGCCTGTCATACTGTATATATCTATAATATCTTCCTTTTTGTAACCTTTAGATGTTAATATACTTAAATAAATGCACTGTAGGCATGTATTCTGTTTAGATATATACAAGAAGCTGCAAACAAAAGATAACAATATCACATATGTATAGACGGATTACAAAAGCAGTAACATTCAAAACAAACCTATGTAATGTGCATTTACAAAATCTGCTTTCTGGGTGTTTATTTCACAACAAAGAAGACCCACCCCCTCGTGAGTTTTGAACCAATGACACGCGCGCCTCCACCTCCCTTCTGCCTATCAACCCGCGTGCAGCCCACTGCATGACGTAACACCCAGTCTGAAAGTGCAATGGCGATATTGGACAATAACAGCCATCGCTTTCGGGGGACCACATCTTTATTATGTGGCTAACGTTGAAGAAAACTAGCTGCAAAACCACTAATAATATCGGCACGGTGCACGAGCGACGACCCACTACCAGGAGAGGAGATTTCACATCCTCTGCACGCGATGACAGTTTAGACTAAAACAAAAAAAACGCTGGTAAGTGCAAACTCTGGTGATTGCAACAGGATTTGCAAATAAGCCATTTCCAGTTGCTTAATGGTCGCTTTCAGGCTTGCAAGCTTCAGATTTCAAAGGGGCGTGGCGGCGTGCTGGGTACCACTTCTGACTAAAAGGATGCTGATAGCTTAGCAACAGCGACAAGGAAGCAGAGCAGAGACAATGGATGTGCGATTTGTCAGCACCGTTACTGGGTAGGATGAGCAGAGCGTGTATTGTGTGAGTGTAAAGACAGGCAGCAGTCACTTTGTGCCAAGTCAACCACAAGAAGCAGCCATGAATGCAGACTCGAAATGTAAACAAAGGGTGTGGGCCTCTCAGCTGGCCTGTGATCAGGAACCATGTTGGGTATTAAGGCAGGATAGGATTTCACTCTCCTGTTTCAAAGACTGATACACAGGAAATGATACACCACAGCTCTTCTCTATAACTGTTGCAAGTCTTCTTCTCCCCCCCCTCCAGGTGTGACGTGTGAACAGACACCATGGCCACACAGGAGCCGTCCCCCCCCTCCTCCATGGAGAGCAATAAACCCGGCTTCCCCAAGAAGATCCTGGGCAACAAGCTGGAGGACAAGCACCTGTGCAACTGCTGCCACAACATCCTGCGACGGCCCTTTCAAGCCCAGTGTGGACATCGCTTCTGTTCCTACTGCTTCAACAGGACTGTCAGGTGAGGGCAGAGAAGCACAACTAAAAGCCTGCAAGTAAAAGTCCTGCATTTACAAATGTACCTACATAAAAGTACTGAAATATTAGCATTAGAACACACTGAAGTTGCAGAAATATAAGTCATGCATTTACAAATTGACTTGAATAAAAGCGCAGATAATTAGCATCAGAAAACACATATGAAATATATGCAGAATGGCTCATTTCAGAATAATAAAGAAATATACATGTTATTATTGTAATGTTTGGGTATCTGCAGAATGTAATGTAGACAGAGTATGAATATTCTATAGCATGTAAAAGTTCTGCATTCAAAATAAAGTGCTGAGCAGTCTAATCTTTAATAATACACGTTCATATATTTGTTGATTATGTTCTTTATTTAAAAATGAATCATAAAAATAATGTAATTTTTATCACTGGGTATCTAATTTTTCAATATTTTTGGATTTGCAGTTTAGTGAGTATAATGTATTTTTATTGCAGTAATGGACCCCAGAAGTGCAGTGCCTGTATTAAAGAGGATATTTTTGAAGAACCTACATCGCTTTTGAAACAAGGATGTGTAAGTATTAACATATCAGAACATTTTACTTTTTGAGTTAGGATTTTTGTTAAAGTGAATTTCTTAATATAACCTATACTGTGAACTCAGAATTAGGGTTTCTTATCTCTATTATTGATTCATAATCGTATCGTAAAAGTAAGGTCAGATTATAGTGATGCGTGTTACGGTTTCCCAGAGTTGATCAAAACCCCCCAAATGTTCAATAAAAATCATTATAACTGGAAAATGAACTCAAATAATACTTCACACAGCTCACTGACCTGCATCCACACATGACAGTTCTGTAGCTCTGAGGGTTTTTTCAGACTAGGAGCTGGAAGAAAGCTGCGTCATGCTTTATTAATGAGCAGATATGCAGGACAAATGTCTTCTTAATGCACTCCTAGAAACACATGTTAACATATAGGGCTGAAGAAGTTGTGAATATACTTTTCCCGAACATGAATGATCCATTAAGTGGAACAGGGACGGTGGAGAAACATCGCAGTGTGACAGCATGTCCATTGTTGTTCAGGCTTTTCCTGACAACGCAGTTCGGAGGGAGGTCGAAAACCTTTCAGCTGTTTGTATCCATGAAAATTGCACTTGGAAAGGCAGCATTAAGGACTATGAGGTAAGGTGATGTTTGACCTACTTTCAGGATTTTTAACAAACAAAACGTGTTTTTGAGCTGTGCGTGAAGACTTTACTTTTTACAGCTGAACCACGAGGGAAAGTGTGAGTTCATGATCCTCCCCTGCCCCTCCTGTAAAGAACGAATCCGCTTCAATGAACAGGAGCGCCATAATGAGCGAGAGTGCCCGGAGAGAACACTCAACTGCAAGTACTGCAAGGAGCCATTCCACTTCAAAAACATCAAGGTATGAAATAATTTACTTAGACTTAGCTAAGATGCTGGGCTCGTCTGAGTCGGTGCAGCACATCACAGCAGCTCTTTGTGTTATTTAAAGGAAACATTGTCAGCTTTGTTGTTTTGTTCCAGGCACATGATGAGATCTGCCCCAAGTACCCGATGATCTGTGAAGGCTGTGCCAAGAAGAAAATACCCAGAGAGAAGGTCAGACTGGTAACACATGCAGAGCACATGGAAACATGTGGTTGCAGGATAAAGGTCACAGCCCCATGTAGCTACTTATTAGCAGTTTGTGCCTCTTGTGTGTTAGTCACAGAGCTTAATATTATGTTTATCTAAACACTTGTACAGTAGGTTATTTTTGACATCTTTGAAGGTATTTCCAGTATCCTCAGCAACAGCAGTCTCTTGAAGGCATCTGGAAATACAAATAATCTGTCAAGATATAAAGGTTTTAAGAAAATGAAAAAAATGTCTGCTATTTAAAGGTTGGTATTTTTGAATGAAAATAAAGAAAAGTGCTTTGATAGGCTCCTGTCTTTGTAAAGATGGAGGATTATATATTACATTACATTTCATTTAGCTGACGCTTTTATCCAAAGCGACTAACAATTACATGGACATTCTCCCTGGAGTAACTAAGGGCTAAGTGCCTTACTCAAGGGCACACTAGT